TGTGTGAAAGAGTAGAGTCTGAGGAAGGACATTTAGAAGAAAAATAGAGAGGCAAAGCATTAATGGGACAAAGAAATGTGGTATTATCTGTTGAAGAGAATTTTATAGTTTTATCAACTGGACTAGAGAGAAATGTTCACATGTTGAAGTATTCACTTTGTAAGCTAAATAATGTGATTGAATGTATAAAAGAAAATGAAATAAAAATAATAATTAAAATAAAGAAAAAGTTTACCAATCCTAGCTTTAGTTGATCTCAAGGGGTATGGGTTAGCAATTCTGAAATGATATAGGAACTTCAAAACATTTGTGAAAAAAATAGAATTAAAGCACGAGTTTATTTTGATGCAAGAAATTTTAAATCCATACATAAATTTTTCATAATACACATTTTTACATAAACATTTTTGACAGTCTTTCATATTTGTGTACAAAAGTTGAAGAAATAAGTAAATATATAGTAGATATAGAAGACAATGAGACCCATGTTTCTCCCTTGTTGAATAAAGAAGTTACAAATATTGAATGATGGGAGGCTAGAATTAACTCTGTGTTGCTGGATTAGAGTAGGTGGCATTGGTATGAACTTGTGTGTACATATGTGTGTGTGTTTGTGTGTTTAATATAGGGATGTGTGCCCACCTACATCTGTTTCCTAGCCTTATCTACTAGGAGGGCCCAGAGGCAATGAATACTCCTAGTGTCCAAATGTTGATTTCTAGATATTCTAAATTTTAAAAGCATCAGGACATGTTAGCAAAGTGGTTGATTCAGGACTGGGAAAATGCAAGAGGAGCCTGGAGCACCTTATGGCTCCATAAAGTAAACATATGCTCAAAAAGAGACATAACATGTTAAAAAGGACAAAGCAACTGCCAGGAAATTGCTCCTAATGGCCAAAGCAGGAACTACTTGAACGACAAAATAACTATCATAGTATTGGATTATAACCCAAAGAAACAAAATGTCTATGAAACCGTACTAATTTAAAGAAATAACTGAAGGGGCCCACAGGTGGCATGGTGGTTAAGGGCACTGGACTCCCACATGGCTGACCGCAGTTCAAGTCCTGGACCTGGCACAGCTTGCCTTCTCTCTCTCTCTCTCTCTCTCTGTCTCTCTCTCTCTCTCTCTCTCTCTCTCTCTCTCTCTCTGTGTGTGTGTTCCCCTCTGGTCAAATTTAAAGGAAGGAAGGAAAGAAGGAAGGAAGGAAGGAAGGAAGGAAGGAAGGAAGGAAGGAAGGAAGTTCTTTAAAAAAAGAAATAACTGAAAAATTAGTAAATGAGAGAGAAGAGACAAATCTTCCTTGTAGGAGAATTTCAATTAATAAATGTTAAAGATGTAAAGGAACTACAAAATCGTTATTAAGCAAACACCACAATAATGATTGTTTCAGTTGAAATCTAATGGATGCTACAATTAGTGAATGAAAGTTTAAACATAAAGGGGATATTTGCAGTCTCAAAGTATCTCCCTCCAAACATTTAATAGTTAAAAAGGGAAAATTTCAGTGGAGAAACCCAGCAGACACTACCTAAACCCAATGATCTAGGTTAGCATCTCCAGTAGTAGGATGTATTGACATCATGTACCCACTAATAGAATACACTGTAAACTTTTGTTTAAAAGAGAAAATCAAATCAAGCTCTCTCTTTTGTATTCTCTGAAATAGTTCACAATAGTGTGTATCTGTTAATTTATCTGTCATCAAAAGAGCACTTTGTCTAAAAGAAGGGACTGACTAGTATGCAAAATGTTTACAATCTTCTGTGAAACTAGTTTATCATTCATTTGTGTACATAAGTTATTATTATACATATCACCTGTATTTTTGATGCATGTGGAATTGCAACTGAAATTTACCTTGCCAATATTTTCTGAATGAACTGAATAAAGTTTTTCTGTGGGAAAAAAAAGGGGAGGGCAAAACTAATGGCCAAATGTAATTTAAGGAGTGCAGTGCAACAGTTCAGATAATGCATGATGGACTTTTTTGAGAGAGAGAGAGATTTTCTGCTATACAGTGTATGTGCTTGACAGAGAGACAGAAAGCAAGAAGTCACCCCCCAAGAGGGATGGCCATGCCATAATCCCTTATCCTCCAGTCCCAGGATTTGGGTCATGAGTGCACACACACCTGGCATGAGTTTTAAGCCGCCAGGTCCAGTACTTGAATTGTGGGTGACTACACAGGAGTCCAGCAATGTAACCATTACGCCATCTGCTGGATAGTTTTTTTTTTTAACAATATCAAGAAAACTCAAAATTATCCCAGATAATTTAAGTTTTGCTCAAGCTTCAAACTGCCAAACTGAAGCTAAAATGGTGACAGAGCCACAGCAGGGCATATTAGGGAAGTAAAGGAAATTCAGTAGTGATGATGCGTGGAGATTGAGACAGACAGTTAGAAAATGATTTCCAGAGTTTATAGTAGCTGGCAATAGGCAACACTTGAGGCAAGAGGCAGGGCCTTAGCATCACACAGGTTAGATAAGCACGTGGTATCCCAGCAATCAGGAAAAACATAATGGGGAAAAAATTACAATCCACTGAAAAGGGCACATCACCTCTGTACTATCCTTTCCAAACACATAACCTCAATCTTACAATGAGGAAATGTCAGACAAACCAAACTGAGGAATATTATACAAGATGACTGGTGAACATTCTTCAGAAGTGTTAAGATCAAAAAAATCTAGGAAAGACTGGGAAACTGCCACAGATTGGATGAGGCTAAGGAGACATGACAGCTAAATGCAATGTGAGATTCTGAATTGACTTCTGGAACAGAAAAAAAAATAAGTGAGAAAACTGGTAAGCTCCCAGAAAGTTACGTACTTTGGTTAACAGTAAGGTACCAAGGTTAATATTTTAGCTTTGATAAATGTCCTGTGGCTATGTAAGATTTAATACAAGGAGATGGTGGTTTGTACATATCTTGAGACTCAACTGTTTTTACAACTTTTCTGTAAACCTAAAAGTATCTCAAAAAATTTTAAATAGGTTTTTAAAAAAAGTCTCAGGGATTGCGTTGTGACCATCCCCCCAGGGGGTGATTTCTTGCTTTCTGTATCTCTGTCTCTCTCTGTCTTTCTGGTGAGCACATGCACCCTATACCAAAAACCTCTCCAAAAAATAAATAAAAAATAAATAAAATTTTAAAAGTCTCAGGTCTTGTGTGAACTGTAAGCTGTCAGAAGGACCACATAGATTAGTAATTAAGTTGTCACAGACTTCACCCTAAGGTGGACAATCATGGAGAGAATAGTGTTGGAAACACTGCTTTAGGGAAGAACTTAAAACTTTTTCTTAAAGGTTTTTGCCATAGGGTACATGTGCTTGCCAGAGAGAGGCAGTGAGAGAGAACATGAGAAATTATCCCCCTAGGGGGATGGTCACACCACAGTGCCTTCTCCTCCAGTCTCTTCTCAGGATTTTGGGCATGCACACACATGCACTTAGCATGATTTTCAAGCTGCCATGTCTGGGACTCAAACCATGTTTGGTCATGTGGGAGTCTAGAGCTTTAACTTCTATGCCACCTGCTGGCCTCCAAAGAGCTTATAATTTAACCTTCACTTGAAATCACATTGCTGAAATCAGTTTTTGCTGTAGGGATGATTTCAGGTTTTTTGGAGGTTTTTATTGTTCTTGTTTTGAGTTTTTGCTATAGGATGTATGCATTCACTGAAGAGAGACAGAGATAGGGAAAGTGAGAAATCACCTTCCCCCCAGAGGGGATGGCCATGCCACAGTCTCTTCTCCACCATTATCCTCTTGGGATTGGACACACACACACACACACACACACATATGCACATGCCTGATGTGATTCTCAAGCTGCCGGGCCTGGGACTTGAACCACGAAGTTGGTCATGTGAGATCCAGCTGCCTCAACCTCCATGCCACCTGCTGGCCCATGATATTTTTCTTTTTAAGTATCATGTCTGTACTGGTGATAGATTAATACATGTAGCTGATGCAAAGGATCTATTTCTAATTAATTATGTGGCTATATCAGAATATAACCTTCTGACCCTTTTTCTCTGCATTCCCAGGGTCGTTATGGTTGCTGTCGCTTTCTACGAGACGGATATAAAACTCCTAAAGAGGTAGGTTTCTTTTTTCCAAAATGAATCCAACATATTTAGAATGATCACTGCTATTCGCAATCTCATTCAGAGAAAAAACTTACTTCACTGATGGTACTTGCTTAAATGCTAAATAGGATAACAATAACTGATGTTTGAAGTATTTGTAGGGTTTAGCTGCCAAGTTCTCAGTTTGTGGGCCTTTCTGACTTAAGTAAAATAGAGGAGAGCATAGTCCTTTTACCTTTTGCAGTTGGTTAGTTTCAGGAAAGATCTAATGGATGCTAAAATCAGTTTATGAAAAGTTTAAGCAGAAACAGTATTTACATATCTCAAAGTATCTTCCTCAAAATAATTTTGTAGGGACCAGCAGTTGGCATAATGGCTGTTGCTGGACTCTCATGTAGTCCCACGGTTCGAGTCCCAGACCCTGTAGCTTAAACTCATGCTGGGCGCATGTGCATGTGTGCCCAAGATCTGAGAGGAGAATGGTGGAGAAGGGATTGTGGCATGGCCCATCTCCCCAGGGGATGATTTCTCACTTTCTGTCTCTCTGTCTGTCTGGCGAGCGCATGCACCCTATAGCAAAAACCTCTCCAAAAGAAAAATTCTATAGTTACAAAGAAAAATATGTCCATAAAGTAGATCTTTATGTTTCCCCCCTTCCACCTTTTTTAGTTGGTAAGTTTCAAACAGAACTCAGTCTTGAAAAGGAAAGTTCCTTTTGTTGTACCAGTCAAAAGTTCTCCTTGGAAATTTCAATGGGAAGAATTAAGTATTATTAAAGGGAATGGATGGTTTATCAGAAGCACTTTCAGGGGACCTGACAGTGGCACAGCAGTAAAACACTACACTCTGCAAGGCTGACCCACAGAGAAGGTTCTGGGTTTGTATGCAGAGACCTCTCTCAGTACATGGAGTACATGTGTGCCTATGATCTGGGAACGACTAAAACTGGAGGTGAATTGTAGCATAGAGACCATGTTGAGCATGCTATCTCTCACTCTTTCTCTGTCTCTCTCTCTCTTTGACTCTCTGTCTTTCCTATTCATGGAATGAATAAACTTTTTTTTTAAAAAAAGAAGCACTTTTCTGCAGAACAAGAGCTATTATGATGTATTTTTTAATTATACAACTCAAGTTCTTTTACTTCCTCTCTTCTCCTTTATCCTCTAGCCCTGAATCTGACTTCTGCCCCTACCAATGTACTAAAACTATACCATGAAAAATCATCATACACTCTTAAGTGACCAATCCAATGACCTTTCAGTCCTTATTCTCCTTGGCTTCTCTATAGTATTCAGTCATCAGAAAAGTCATGATGCATTTTTGCATAGAAAAACATGTTATGACTTTTCTGATGACCAGGACTTCACTGTTATCTACCCCTACGTTGTTTTGATATTTTTTTCCTAATTTCCATAGCACTGTACTGTCCTAACTCTTCTCTTTCTGTCCTTCTCTCATCCCACCATAAGAATTTACCAAGATCCCATTCTTAGGCAGTTTTCTCATTTTATATAGTACTCTTTCACAAAGCTCACCTATAACTTGTGCTTTATGTCACCTCTATAGAGAGGATTCCCAAACCCTCATGTTTAGCTGCCCTTCTAAACATTTCTACTTGTTTGTCCTACTACCATTACCTCAAACTTAACAGGTATAAAACCAAACTCAACTTTATTGCAAACTAATTGTACCCCTTCATACGTCTTCTCGTAATGTCATTATTATCCCAGTTCTACTAGTTAAGAGGGGACATCATAAAGTACTTGCTAAGGAAGGGGAATTTGTACATGCTTTGCCTTCTATGGCTAACTTCTCTGAAACAATTATCAGCTAAAGGCCATATCAAAATACCTCTAAAGTCAAGATGGGGACCAGCAGGTGGCGTGGTGTATAAGGTGCTGGACACTCCCACATGGCTGACTGCAGTTCGAGTCCCAGACCTGGTGGCTTGCTTTCTCGCTTTCTCTCCTCTCTCTCTCTCTCTCTCTCTCTCTCTCTCTCTCTCTTTCTCTCTCTAACTCTCTCTGGTCAAATTAAAATAAATGAAGGAATAAACAAAATTATATAAATAATTGTTTTTTAAAAATGTATGCCTAATTTCTGAGTGGTAAGATAGTCTTTGTCTGTTGTGTTTTTTACCAGGATCCCAATCGTCTGTACTATGAACCTGCTGAGCTAAAGCTATTTGAAAACATTGAGTGTGAATGGCCATTGTTTTGGACATACTTTATCCTTGATGGAATCTTTAGTGGCAATGCAGAACAGGTAATAAACTGGGGATAAAGGTTTTTTAGCACAATGTTTTTGTTATGTCTTCACCTTTCAGTTAATGGCTGTACCAATCCTGTGTGCAAAGGGAAGTCTTCCTATTAGGAAAAAGACAGTTTTCTCCTATAGACTAGTAGCTGATAGCACTAAGATAAGAGTTGGAAGAACTGGATTCTTTCTTTTTCTCCTTCTTCCTTCTCCTCCTCCTCCCTTTGTTCCCTTCCTTCTGTTCTCCTCTTCCTTCTCTGCCCTGGCCCAAGAGCGAAGAAATAAGGTACCACTAGGGGAAGGGCTGTGGACTAAGAAAGGACAGACAGATAAAAGCCAGGGTCAGGCTGACCATGTCCTGTGGCTATGTAAGATTTAATACAAGGAGATGGTGGTTTGTACATATCTTGAGACTCAACTGTTTTTACAACTTTTCTGTAAACCTAAAAGTATCTCAAAAAATTTTAAATAGGTTTTTAAAAAAAGTCTCAGGGATTGCGTTGTGACCATCCCCCCAGGGGGTGATTTCTTGCTTTCTGTATCTCTGTCTCTCTCTGTCTTTCTGGTGAGCACATGCACCCTATAGCAAAAACCTCTCCAAAAAATAAATAAAAAATAAATAAAATTTTAAAAGTCTCAGGTCTTGTGTGAACTGTAAGCTGTCAGAAGGACCACATAGATTAGTAATTAAGTTGTCACAGACTTCACCCTAAGGTGGACAATCATGGAGAGAATAGTGTTGGAAACACTGCTTTAGGGAAGAACTTAAAACTTTTTCTTAAAGGTTTTTGCCATAGGGTACATGTGCTTGCCAGAGAGAGGCAGTGAGAGAGAACATGAGAAATTATCCCCCTAGGGGGATGGTCACACCACAGTGCCTTCTCCTCCAGTCTCTTCTCAGGATTTTGGGCATGCACACACATGCACTTAGCATGATTTTCAAGCTGCCATGTCTGGGACTCAAACCATGTTTGGTCATGTGGGAGTCTAGAGCTTTAACTTCTATGCCACCTGCTGGCCTCCAAAGAGCTTATAATTTAACCTTCACTTGAAATCACATTGCTGAAATCAGTTTTTGCTGTAGGGATGATTTCAGGTTTTTTGGAGGTTTTTATTGTTCTTGTTTTGAGTTTTTGCTATAGGATGTATGCATTCACTGAAGAGAGACAGAGATAGGGAAAGTGAGAAATCACCTTCCCCCCAGAGGGGATGGCCATGCCACAGTCTCTTCTCCACCATTATCCTCTTGGGATTGGACACACACACACACACACACACACATATGCACATGCCTGATGTGATTCTCAAGCTGCCGGGCCTGGGACTTGAACCACGAAGTTGGTCATGTGAGATCCAGCTGCCTCAACCTCCATGCCACCTGCTGGCCCATGATATTTTTCTTTTTAAGTATCATGTCTGTACTGGTGATAGATTAATACATGTAGCTGATGCAAAGGATCTATTTCTAATTAATTATGTGGCTATATCAGAATATAACCTTCTGACCCTTTTTCTCTGCATTCCCAGGGTCGTTATGGTTGCTGTCGCTTTCTACGAGACGGATATAAAACTCCTAAAGAGGTAGGTTTCTTTTTTCCAAAATGAATCCAACATATTTAGAATGATCACTGCTATTCGCAATCTCATTCAGAGAAAAAACTTACTTCACTGATGGTACTTGCTTAAATGCTAAATAGGATAACAATAACTGATGTTTGAAGTATTTGTAGGGTTTAGCTGCCAAGTTCTCAGTTTGTGGGCCTTTCTGACTTAAGTAAAATAGAGGAGAGCATAGTCCTTTTACCTTTTGCAGTTGGTTAGTTTCAGGAAAGATCTAATGGATGCTAAAATCAGTTTATGAAAAGTTTAAGCAGAAACAGTATTTACATATCTCAAAGTATCTTCCTCAAAATAATTTTGTAGGGACCAGCAGTTGGCATAATGGCTGTTGCTGGACTCTCATGTAGTCCCACGGTTCGAGTCCCAGACCCTGTAGCTTAAACTCATGCTGGGCGCATGTGCATGTGTGCCCAAGATCTGAGAGGAGAATGGTGGAGAAGGGATTGTGGCATGGCCCATCTCCCCAGGGGATGATTTCTCACTTTCTGTCTCTCTGTCTGTCTGGCGAGCGCATGCACCCTATAGCAAAAACCTCTCCAAAAGAAAAATTCTATAGTTACAAAGAAAAATATGTCCATAAAGTAGATCTTTATGTTTCCCCCCTTCCACCTTTTTTAGTTGGTAAGTTTCAAACAGAACTCAGTCTTGAAAAGGAAAGTTCCTTTTGTTGTACCAGTCAAAAGTTCTCCTTGGAAATTTCAATGGGAAGAATTAAGTATTATTAAAGGGAATGGATGGTTTATCAGAAGCACTTTCAGGGGACCTGACAGTGGCACAGCAGTAAAACACTACACTCTGCAAGGCTGACCCACAGAGAAGGTTCTGGGTTTGTATGCAGAGACCTCTCTCAGTACATGGAGTACATGTGTGCCTATGATCTGGGAACGACTAAAACTGGAGGTGAATTGTAGCATAGAGACCATGTTGAGCATGCTATCTCTCACTCTTTCTCTGTCTCTCTCTCTCTTTGACTCTCTGTCTTTCCTATTCATGGAATGAATAAACTTTTTTTTTAAAAAAAGAAGCACTTTTCTGCAGAACAAGAGCTATTATGATGTATTTTTTAATTATACAACTCAAGTTCTTTTACTTCCTCTCTTCTCCTTTATCCTCTAGCCCTGAATCTGACTTCTGCCCCTACCAATGTACTAAAACTATACCATGAAAAATCATCATACACTCTTAAGTGACCAATCCAATGACCTTTCAGTCCTTATTCTCCTTGGCTTCTCTATAGTATTCAGTCATCAGAAAAGTCATGATGCATTTTTGCATAGAAAAACATGTTATGACTTTTCTGATGACCAGGACTTCACTGTTATCTACCCCTACGTTGTTTTGATATTTTTTTCCTAATTTCCATAGCACTGTACTGTCCTAACTCTTCTCTTTCTGTCCTTCTCTCATCCCACCATAAGAATTTACCAAGATCCCATTCTTAGGCAGTTTTCTCATTTTATATAGTACTCTTTCACAAAGCTCACCTATAACTTGTGCTTTATGTCACCTCTATAGAGAGGATTCCCAAACCCTCATGTTTAGCTGCCCTTCTAAACATTTCTACTTGTTTGTCCTACTACCATTACCTCAAACTTAACAGGTATAAAACCAAACTCAACTTTATTGCAAACTAATTGTACCCCTTCATACGTCTTCTCGTAATGTCATTATTATCCCAGTTCTACTAGTTAAGAGGGGACATCATAAAGTACTTGCTAAGGAAGGGGAATTTGTACATGCTTTGCCTTCTATGGCTAACTTCTCTGAAACAATTATCAGCTAAAGGCCATATCAAAATACCTCTAAAGTCAAGATGGGGACCAGCAGGTGGCGTGGTGTATAAGGTGCTGGACACTCCCACATGGCTGACTGCAGTTCGAGTCCCAGACCTGGTGGCTTGCTTTCTCGCTTTCTCTCCTCTCTCTCTCTCTCTCTCTCTCTCTTTCTCTCTCTAACTCTCTCTGGTCAAATTAAAATAAATGAAGGAATAAACAAAATTATATAAATAATTGTTTTTTAAAAATGTATGCCTAATTTCTGAGTGGTAAGATAGTCTTTGTCTGTTGTGTTTTTTACCAGGATCCCAATCGTCTGTACTATGAACCTGCTGAGCTAAAGCTATTTGAAAACATTGAGTGTGAATGGCCATTGTTTTGGACATACTTTATCCTTGATGGAATCTTTAGTGGCAATGCAGAACAGGTAATAAACTGGGGATAAAGGTTTTTTAGCACAATGTTTTTGTTATGTCTTCACCTTTCAGTTAATGGCTGTACCAATCCTGTGTGCAAAGGGAAGTCTTCCTATTAGGAAAAAGACAGTTTTCTCCTATAGACTAGTAGCTGATAGCACTAAGATAAGAGTTGGAAGAACTGGATTCTTTCTTTTTCTCCTTCTTCCTTCTCCTCCTCCTCCCTTTGTTCCCTTCCTTCTGTTCTCCTCTTCCTTCTCTGCCCTGGCCCAAGAGCGAAGAAATAAGGTACCACTAGGGGAAGGGCTGTGGACTAAGAAAGGACAGACAGATAAAAGCCAGGGTCAGGCTGACCCAGGTCTCTGCTGGAGAAGCCATAGCCCTGAGCCGTTCTGTCTCATTCTTTTATAGGAGAGGTAAAACAGCGTGCTTCAGCTGTGGAACATCTCTGGTTCTAAACAAGCATCTGGCCTTCTCTGACTGATGCTCAGGTTTCTTCTATCTGTAAAGACCAGCAGTAGAGTATGTCTTTGTTTAGAACTTTCATGCCCTGCAGCAATAGAGGCACTCCAGGTGCTCCCTGCACATCACCTTCTTTTGTTTTTGTTTTTTGTTTTTGTTTCTTGGCCTCAGACCAGACCATGAGTAGCCTAAGGACTGTCACTGAATTTTTCAGTTATTCTGTACATAAGATGAGGATAGTTTTTCTGTCTTTATTATAGAATATATCCTATAGTTCTTCAGATTCCACAAATAAAGACATGCTGTAAGGTACAGTCAGTTCTGCCACAAGGAGATATATGCATTCCTAAAAAAGTCACCAAGCTGTGCATTTTCAAGAAATAAAAGTATAGGGCTTATTAGGACCCCAGTGCATAAAATGTTTGTAAATAATACATACAAGAATGATTGGAACCTAATAAAAAGTGATTAAGTGGTTAAGAAATACATAAATACCACAGTTATACTTATGCTACATTTACCTTGAAAAAAATCTGATATTTGCTCATGGCAGTGTGTGCCCATGTTCCCACCAGCTCACCTGCACAGCTCCTGTGCCTGCCAATTTGTGTTCAAAAGGAAGAGAACAAAAGCAGATTTTTTGTTAAGACAGAGAAAGTAGAGAAAAAGAACAGACAACAGAGAGGGAAAATTTTAAATAAGCTGAGAGGGGAGAGAGAGAAAATTAAAGGAAAGGAAAGGAACCCTAGAAAGCTGCACAACAGGATGGCCATCAGAGATTATAAAGGAGGATTATCTGGTGCTCGCTTCAGCAGCACATATACTAAAATTGGACCGATACAGAGAAAATTAGCATGGCCCCTGCACAAGGATTGCACGCAAATTCATGAAGCGTTCTATATTTTTATGGGACCAACCCAAATGCTCAAGAATAGATGAATGGACCGAAAAACTATGGCACATATACTCTATGGAATGCTATTCAACCAAAAAAAAAAAAAAAAAAACCTAGCTTTTGACAGAAAGTGGGTGAATATGAAGATTTACTGCTGTGTGAAGCAAGCCAGGCTATGGAGAGACATTGTATGTCCCCACTTAATATATACCGAGTGCCCACACTCTATGACTGAAAGTGATTGACTAAAGGATATAGAAACACAGTAAACGGATATAAATACAGATACAGTGTGTGTGAAAGAGTGGGGTTTGAGGAAGAAGAATTAGAAGAAAAATGGGGAGGAAAAGCATTAATGGGACAAAGAAACATGCCAATTTCTGTTAAAGATATTTTATAGTTTAGTCAACTGGACTAGGGAGAAATGTTCACATGTTAAAATATTCACATTGCAAGCTAAATAATGTGATTTACTGTATAAAAGAAAATGAAATTTAAAAAATAATAAAGTAAGATAAATTTCTGAAAAAAAGGAGGATTATCTGAAATTGGACAAAAAGTTGTAACAACAGGTGTGAATAGGTGCAGTTCATTGTCCTGAGAGTGTACATGCATGTTTTGTATATTTTTTTTACAAGTTTGTTTATTTATTTATGAGAGAGTGACAGAGCAACTCCAATAGGATCTCACACCATGATATTCCCTCATGCAGCTAGCCAAGGCCATTGGTATACATACATTCCCGGTGTTCACAGATCAACTCAGGAACCGAAACCTAGTTTTCTTTGTGACTTCCACCATCGCAGAGCATTGCATTACCACTGTACTAGCATAACTGGGCCTGTTTTGTGTATTTTTTACACAGGTCAGTTTAGCTGAGTGAGTTTTCAGGGTGAAATTGTGTATAAGAAAATGTGAAATTTATGTTATGCTCAAATTTTTCCCTAATATATCAAATGCATTGGAACACGTGTTTTCAAAGCAAGTGTCATAGCAGAACTGACTGTATACTTTTTCCACCATAGATTGTGGTGCTGGTTTTTTGTTTTTTTTGTTTTGTTTTGTTTTTTGTTTTGTTTTGTTTTGTTTTGAGAGGAGAGTGTATGCGCTCACCAGAGAGAGAGACAGCGAGAAATCACCCCCCAGGGAGGATGACCACGCCACAATCCCTTCTCCTCCTCCGTTCTCTTCTCGGGATCTTGGGCACACACACACATGTGCCTGGCCTGAGCTTCAAGCCACCAGGTCCGGTACGCGAACCGCGGTCAACCACATGGGAGTCCAGCGACATAGCCATTGCGCTAACTGTTGGTCTCTTGTTTTTGTTTTTTACATTTTATGTATTGGTAAGCTTCACCAAATTGTTAAGCAAAGAACCTAATAGAAGTGTAATTTGAAAGGTTTAAAGTTTAAAGTCACCACATTCTAAAGTCGAGAAGGTATATTTAAGGTAGCACACAGTGGATCAAACCAGGCCTTTAAAAGCAAGCTGACTTGGCTAAATTTACTCTAATCTCAAATATGTCTTTGCTCTGTGATCATCCATAAGTCTATAACTTCTTCGAGTCTTAATTTCTCTATAAAAAGGCTTTAATTATACATACTTCCTATGATGATTATTAAAATTAAATGCACTAAAGTATGAAAACTCCTACCATAATATCTGGCCTTTTACAAGCCAAATCTAGCATTTTATGTAGTAAATGCTATTTCCCCTTTCTTTCCCTTTTACTAGGTGAATAAACTCCTTTGTAATAAGAACTTCTTTGCCTACAACTCTATAGGATAGAAAGTGGTAAAAACTGAAGAGAACTCTCTATTTTTCTGCCTTTCTTTTATCTGCAGGTTCAAGAGTATAGAGAGGCCCTTGAAGCAGTCCTCATTAAGGGCAAAAATGGAATCCCACTTCTGCCAGAGCTGTACAGTGTTCCTCCCGACAGGGTGAGTTGGACAGGACATAACATGGAGTCAGTAGAAGAGCAGTATACAGTAAGATTGTTTCATTTGAGTCGGTAATTTTTAATCTTCTGATTTTAATGTTCTAAAAGTTTTTCTTTAGTAGAGAAGAACAAAAATATGATTTTATCTATTTAAAAATGCATTTTAAAGCACTCTCAATTGTCATGTATTTTTAAAATGCATGAACTTTTATTTATGTAACATTACTTTTTAATTTTTTAAAAATTTTATGATTTCCTACTCACGTTTAATTGTTCTACGTCTCTATAGCACACAATATGTTTTTTCAAAGTGTGCATGTAGTGCATGGCAATCAAACCAAGTATATTACCATATACATCATTTTCAATGGAGAATTTTACATTCTTATGTCAAGTATTTCTTCTGAGTCCTTCCCATCCACCCTCTACTATCCATCCCCTTTCATATAGTCTCTGTTATCTACCCTTGTCCTCCGTACTATATCTTCTGATTTTTCCATTTCTGCCATAAAGTGCAGAAATTCACTGTATATTGAGCAAGGATATACAGTGTTTGTCTTTCATAGTCTGGCTTACTTCAGTTAGCATTAATTCTTCTAAATTCATCTTCTATATTCATCCACTTTGTATCAAGAATCTGCACTTTAACAAGCTCCTCAGGTGATTTGTATGTACATCATGGTTTGAGTAGCACTGCCCTATCCTATAGTTATATTGCTTGACTTTTCAGTGTATTGCACATTTGACTATATAATAGGGTAAGAATCACAATCCAGACCTAGCCATTTTATTGTCTAGTATTATAAGCTTTCTATTATTCCTCATCTGGCTTCTTCATCTTTTCTTTTAGGTTGATGAGGAATATCAAAATCCTCACACTGTGGACCGAGTCCCCATGGGGAAGTTGCCTCATATGTGGGGTCAGTCTCTATACATTTTAGGAAACTTAATGGCAGAGGTAAGGAGAAACTTCAAGGCTATTCTACTCTTTTTTCCTGTCTTAGTCACCATAATAATCAGTTTTGTGAGTAGCTCAGTAAATATTAAAGGTGGTTTTTTTGTTTGTTTTTTGTTTTGCCTTTCTGGTTGTTGTCTTGTTTTGCCAGAGAACGTATGTGCTTGCCAGAGAGAGACAGAAAGAGGGAGAGGGAAAAAGCACCCTGTATAGGGAGTGGTCACATTGCAATACCTCCTCCTCCATTTCCCTATACTTTTGGGATTTGGAGCATGCATGCACACACTATTGGCATGTTTTTCAGGCCACCAGGGCTAGGACTCAAACCACTTATTCAGCTATGTCACACCTGGCTGCCTTAACTACCAGACCATGGAAACAGTCATCTTTTACTTGTTATACTTTGCTTTAATTATATAATAGTTTTTTCTTCAGGTCCTCAGAGTGGGAAGCATGGCCAACCCTCAACAAAAATCATTTGCCCCCTGGCAACCATGCCCCTGATCCTACTCAGGGCTCCCTGTTTTGGCACTGTACTCTGAGCTGCTAAAAAAAAAAAAAAAATCAAGCCTGGGACCAGCATATGGCATAATGTTAAGTCACTGGACCCCCACAGTCGACTGTGGATCAAGTCTCGGAACTGGCAGCTTAAAACTCAGGCCAGGTGCATGTGCGTGCATGCCCATATTCCTGAGAGGAGAATGGAGGAGAAGGGATTTTGGTGTGGCCATTCCCCGTGGGGTGATTTCTCTCTTTCTGACTCTGTCTCCCCAGCAAGCACATGTCTCTCTCTCTCTCTCCCCCCCCCTCCCCCGGTGAGCACACGTGCCCTATAGCAAAAATTTCTAAAAATTTAAAGAATAGAAATCAGGCTATATATCTTTCCCTTTCAAAACTTCCCTCACTGCCCTACCTGGTGACTAAGGAGTGCAATTGGGCTTAGATAGTAATTACTGATAATGAATTAGCTGCCAACCTTTCCCAGCAGCATAGTATTTCATTCTTTAGTTGAATAACTGATTGTTTTCAGCATCATAACAAGTATATAGAAACATCATGGGGTTTTGTTTGTTTTTTGGTAAGGGGCTCCCTGAATATTCCTTATTTCAAATTCTTAGGCCTTAATGAGACACTTGGGGCTTTCTGACTTTATATCCAACTTCTGTGTGATATTTTAAGCCTACACAGAGGGCTCCCTTACACAAAACTTTTCCAAATTTGCTGGCAAATTTATTTCCCTATTGTAGGTTATTTTGATAAATATAACCCAGGCTCCTAGAGGATCTTTGGTAGGACTTTTCTATCCTTTCTGAGTCAGACTTTTAAATCTCACTATGTATAAACACTAATTTTCTGCAGTTGCTTTTGTTTTGTATTTGTTTTTATTTTCTTGTAGCCATAGCTGCTTTATCTTTACTTGGCACTAACATGAATCTAGTAATAATGGACAAAATGCTTTATTTAAAATAATTCTTACCTGGTGATTTTCTCATTCAGTTAGAATAAATTAAATTCAATGAAAAAAGGAAGAGCTAAATGGTATTTTTAAAAGAAAAATGGGTGAGTTCATTTCATTTTGTAAAGGGAATAGACTCAAGCCAATTCAAAAGATTTCTGCTGAGCAGAAAGCACAGCAAACACATGAACAAACGAGAAAACACTATTAATGGCTTATGTCATCGGTAAAGCATTGTGGTCTGTCATCTAATCTCATGTATTTGCAGAGAAGATAGAGGAATGACCAGAAATCTTTCTGTTTATTACACCTTATAACCCACCTATTATCAGAAAAAGGAGATGTGGCACCCAGTAGAAATTAACTGCAAATAAAATTAATTTGGATATGAATTCAGGGAGCTCAAACATTTTCATACAGTGAAGGCACTTGTTTCCTTTCTATTCTTGTCTCTCTTGTGTTTTGGTGCAGGGTTCTGGGCATAGGAATATTGTTTCTCCTCAAATGTTAGCTTTAAGAAAAAATTTTCAAACCTAATGTGTCTTTTTTATCCTTTTTCTTTAGGGATTTTTAGCTCCTGGAGAAATTGATCCCCTAAATCGTAGGTTTTCTACTGTACCTAAACCAGATGTTGTGGTTCAAGGTATGTATTCTTATCCTCAGCAGCAGAACTGTATATTAAAGGTCTGGTTAGAGACAGAGACCTTTGGGTCATTAAATTATGCTTTCATTCTTCATCTTGCATTTTGTTAGGCTTTAAAAAGTATAAAATAATGGTTTAATTTGGTTTCAAATTTTTGATAATCATAAATGAATGAATAATGTGCTGTGTCAGAGGACTTCAAAATATTACAAGACATTCTTAACCACTTCTTATTTCTAGAAACTTTTGTAATTGTTACGACATTTTAGTCTCCTGGTTATCGCACTTTCTCTCTGACCACTCCTTCTATGCTGATTTTGCTCATACTCTTTCCTTTCATATCATCCTAGTGGTTCTGTACTTAGTCTTATGCTCTTGTCTTTTTGTATTTACTCCCTATATTAGTTTGCTAGGGCTGCCTCCCTCAGAATACAATTGCTTCCATGATTCTAACTTCTGCCTCTTAGGAGAGTACTCAAAACCTTTATTTTTATTCTTAACAAGCAACTTAAATTTGGGGACATCTACTCCATGTAAAATGCTGGGCTGAGTTCTATGAGTATAAGTAGAATTCTAGTTTAAAACATCTCTACAACTTATATTTCAATTACATAACTGAGCTCATTTGTCTCCTTCCCATTCATTTTTTTAAAAATAATTATTTATTTTATTTATGTTTATTATAATTACTATTCTTTAATTTGACTAGCGAGAGAGACAGAAACAAAGTGAGAAAGCAAGCTACCGGGTCCAGGACTCAAACCGTGGTCACCCATGTGGGAGTCCAGCACCTTAACCACCATGCCACCTGCCAGCCCCTCCTTCCCATTCTTTTATATTTCCTAAGAAAAGAAAAATTTTCCACCTTTCTCAATGATATCACCATTTTCCAAGTATTTGAGAGTAGAAAGTTTGGGGTGATTTTTGACTCACCAACATTACTATCCAATCTGATATTAAGTCCTGCTGTGAAGATCCTTTTTAATGTCTCTGGTCATTTGAATTTGGTTTTTATATGGAAAATAATCCCATGTATTTTCTAAACTTCCTATGTTTGGCATCATACAGGTGGTCCTTGCTTATAAATGTACTATAGCAAAGATTACACAAAGTTACTTTTCTCCTCCCACAAGAAAGTTTGTTCTTTAAGGTTTATGGCATCTGGCTATGCTAATCTCCTGGTTGCTATAATTCATTCATTAAAAAGTTTAAGGCTTGGCTCACAGACCTCCTCTGCTTCCCTAAATCCTGTCATAGAGCTAGATTGCAGCATTGATGTAGATAACATCTAACATTCTAGCCTCAAAATACTTGGATATCCATAACATGAGTGATTTTTCCCTCCACCTCTATTTTAGAGACCCACCCCAAGGACCAAACTTTAGGAATATTCCACCTCAGATATATAATATTCTACTCTCTGGTCATGGTCACATATTATTCCAGCCTTCTTTTGCTTCTTGTTCCACTTTTGTCTGTTTTCTCCTAGTCTGCCCTTCCTCACCTTATCTAAGTATCTTAATCACCAATGCACCATATTTCTACCACACCCACACAGAAAAAATCATAGCTCCAGATAAATCTTACAATGTTCATTTTCTGATCCTATACCTGCCCTGCTAAAAGCTACAGAAAAATAAATCAAACAAATGAGCAGAGTGATGGCACTGGAAATCCATGGTTTCCAGCACAGCCCAGCCCACAGTGCTTCCTGATAGTCTGTGTTCTTATCTTTTGTCAGCATTTTCATTCTTCTCAGTCTCTATTCAAAACCTTCTCTGTTTACAGCCCTACCCTTGTTGCCAGCCTAATTCTTGGCCTGATAATCTTATATTTGGAACCCCAACTCTCCTTGCCCCTACTACTTACCCACCCTTGCCTTCTTTCTCCAGTCTCAGGAAAAGGTGTCTCTTCTACTCAAGGCCAAGTCTTCTGATAATTGATTCTGTCCTCTTCCCCAGCTTTCTCTAGTAACTTGCTCTTTCCTGGAATCTTCAAACTCTGCCATTCTGTTGTTTTATTTTGTTTTCTGTTGCTTTTAGAGAAAGAGACAGCACTCCCCAGGGAGGATGGCCACACCGCTATCTCCTTCTCCTCTAATCTCCCCCTCAGGACTCTGGGTACACAAGTGCATGCCCAGTGTGCCGCTGGGCCTGGAACTCAAACCATGTAGTCAACCACATGGGATCCAGTTGCCTTAACCACCACACCACAGACTGGCCCTTATTGTTTTTTGTTTTTTGTTTTGTTTTGTTTTGTTTTTAATCTATTGATGTTCATCTCCTTGTAGTTATATATAGTTCCTTTCTTTCTCATTCAGATTTCTGTTTATTTATATTCCATTCATTCTGTAATCCTTTATAGTCTGGCTTAGTCTGAAAATGATCTTGCTTAAGTAACCAGTGACCTTTGCATTGCAAAATTTGGTAGGTATTTTTCAACCCACATCTTACTGGAACTTTCTGTTCCATTTATCTTTTCTGAAAACTCTTAAATCTCACATCTTCTGGGATAACATACTCCCTTGTACCTCCAACCTTTCTTTAGGACTTTTCTATCATTTTCTGGGTGTCCTTTTCTTCTCTTAGCTGTTATTGTTCCTGAGAGTTCTGTCCTTAGCGCACTGCTCTTCTTCTTTTTTTTTTGAGAGATTTTTGCTATAGGGCGCATGCGCTCGCCAGACAGACAGAGAGAGACATAGAGACAGAAAGCGAGAATCACCCCCCAGGGGGGATGGTCACGCCGCAATCCCTTCTCCTCCATTCTCCTCTCGGGATCTTGGGCACGCACGCACACGTGCCCGGCGTGAGTTTTAAGCCACCGGGTCCAGGACGCGAACCGCGGTCGACTACATGGGAGTCCAGCGACATAGCCATTACGCTAACTGCTGGTTCCCCGCACTGCACTTCTTATCCTGAATGTTTATTCCTGTCTCTCGGCCTTCTCTTATTCCAAACCTTTTCCCTTTCTGACCTCCTTAATTCTTCTCCCAGTCTCAGAAAAATGACCTTACCACCAGTGTCACAGATAAAATATAAACCATGAGACAAGAATCCCCCTACTCCATTCTCACACTTTTTTATTTATCTGCCCATTTCTTATACATTGGAATTTCTCAAGGTTGTATTCTAGGTCCCCTTCTCTTTATATTTTCTCCTTGAGCCATCTCATCTCTTTGTATGCTAATGACTACAGAATCTGTATCAACAACTTCTAAGGTAGCCCCACTTGAATGTTTCCTGTTCACCGTTAACTCAACATGTCTAAAATTTTTCTTTTTTTTTGGAGAGATATTTGCTATAGTGCATGTGCACTCATTGGAGACACAGAAAGCAAGAAATCATCCCCCAGTGGGGGTGACCATGCCGCAATCCCTTCTCTTCTGTTCTCCTCTAGGGATTTTGGGCACATATGCACATGTGCCCAGTGTGTTTTAAGTCACTGAGTCCAGTACTCAAACTGAGGTCAAATACGTGGGAGTCCAGCAACATAACTGCTACACCATCTACTGGTCCCAACATGTCTAAAATGAATCAGCTGCACTTTCATCTACTTTTGTTCCTGTGTGCCTTTGTCATTAAATTAAACATCGTCTTCCCAGTTACACAAATAGACATGTAGAGAATCCTTTTTTTAAGAAAATACAAACTACTTACTATCTCTCAGAGAAACAGAAGAAATGTAGCATTAATTTTTTCTGTATATTTTACCTTGCTTTTTAAAGGTCATATTCTTGGGGCCAGCAGGTGGCGTGGTGATTAAGGTGCTGGACACTCCCACATGGCCGACCACGGTTCGAGTCCCGGACCTGGTGGCTTGCTTTCTCACCTTCCCTCTGTGTGTGTGTGTGTGTCTGGTCAAATTAAAAAATAAATGAATGGGGAAACAGCAGTTAGCGTAATGGCTATGTCACTGGACTCCCACGTAGTCGACCGCGGTTCACGTCCCGGACCCGGTGGCTTAAAACTCACGCCGGGCGCGTGTGCGTGCGTGCCCAAGATCCCGAGAGGAGAATGGAGGAGAAGGGATTGCGGCGTGACCATCCCCCCTGGGGGGTGATTTCTCGCTTTCTGTCTCTATGTCTCTCTCTGTCTGTCTGGCGAGCGCACGCGCCCTACAGTGAAAATCTCTCCAAAAAAAAAAAAATAAATGAATGGATAAATAAATAAATAATTTTACAAAAGGTCATATTCTTAATTAAACTAATATACTGATATCCTTTAATAATGAAATAGTTCAGGACCAGCAGATGGCGTAGCAGTTATATCTCTGGACTCCCACATGGCCCACCAGGGTTCTAATCTTGGACCAGGCACGTGTGTTTCTTGACCCCTCTTTCTCACCCACTACATTCAATCAGTTAACAAATTATAGCATATTTGCTTTCTAAATAACTGTGACCTCCAGTACTAGTATTATGATCCTAATGTAGATAATCAATATCTCTGCCTTGCATTACTGCAATAACTTGCCTTCATTTACTAGAGGGCGTACATGGTTGCCAGAGAAACAAGTGTAGGGAGGTGATGGGGGCTGCTGGGGAAGGAGAAAGAACCTTCCAGTGGGGTGTGTTCATCTTGCAATCCCTTCTTTTCCATTTTCCCAACCTGTCAGGATTTAGGGCATGCACGCCACACAAACCTGACATTTTTCTCAGGCCTCCAGGGTTGAACTTTGAACCATGGTGAACCATGAGGTATCTGGCTCCCTTTAACAACAAAGCCACAGGGCCAGCCCTTCTATAATAATTTTTAACTGGCTTCTCTGTCTTCAGTTTGGCACACTACAATCTATAAGTTTATTTTTTTTTAAGGTTTTTGCCATAGGGCACATGCACTTGCCAGAGAGAGACTGTGACAGGGAAAGTGAGAAATTACCCGCCCAGGGGGAATGTCCGCCTGCAATCCCTTCTCCTCCATTCTCTTCTTGGTAGTTTGGGCACACACGCACACATGCCTGGCATGATTTTCAAGTTGCCAGGTCCAGCACTCAAACCATAGTTGGCCACATGAGTGTCCAATGCCTTAACCATTACGCTGCCTGGTGGACCCACTGTAAGTTTATCCCGAATATACTTTTTTAAACATCCAGGTATGGATATATTATTTATCTGATTACAACTCTGTAGGAGCTCCCCATTGCCAGCCTTCTTAATATGGCTTAGAAATGTCTCTCTCTCTCTTTTTTTTTTTTTAACTTTTTTTTTTTTTTTAAAAAAAAGAACAACACTTTTTTCTTTATTTTCTTATTATTTTTACATTTAATCACCATACATCTTTACCGTACACAAAATAATTTTCCCAGCATGAATACACCGTATACTGCATATTAGTCCAGTCAAAGATATTTCCATATACATTATCCTCAACAGATAATTTTCCATTTTTGTGTCCATTAAATGTTTTGTTTTCCCCCCTTGATTCCCTCCCTCCCCAACCCCTATTCCTCACCCTCCTCTCACACTGTCTCTAGTATCAGAATTTTCTCTCCATGCTTTTACATTTTCAAATCATTCAGTTTTTGCCATAGATTGTAGACATTTTGGTATATATTAAGAGGGGACCTACAGTGCCTCTTTTTCGTAGTCTCCTTGCTTCACTTAGCTTTAAAACTTCGATATTCATCCACTTTCTATTAAATGCCAGAGTCTCATTGTTTTTTTTAAGGACTGAGTAGTATTCTGTAGTGTATGTTGTTTCCATGTCTTAGCAATTGTTATTAATGCTGCAATAAATATGAATGTGCAAGTGTTTTTCCAACTAAGTTTATTCCTAGCCTTTGGTTAGATACCCAGGGATGGAATTGCTGTATTATGTGGTAGTTCTAATTGTAGGTTTTTGAGGAACCTCCATATTGTTCTCCACAGTGGCTGTACTAGTTTACATTCCCACAAACAGTTTAAGAGAGTTCCCTTTTCACCACAGCCTCGCCAGCACTTATCTTTTCTTTTTTCATCTTATCATTCTGACTGGGCTTGGGTGGTATCTCATTGTGGTTTTGATTTTCATCTTCCTTATGATAAAGGATGTGACTTACAAGTCTCTTTACGATCTGGCCCCTGACCTGGTGTCAAGTTTCATTTTTCATCACTGCTCCTTTACACTCCATGTTCCTGCTGTAAAGAGCTCTTTATGATTCCTAGATTCTTTTTTCATCTTACCATTCTGACTGGGCTTGGGTGGTATCTCATTGTGGTTTTGATTTTCATCTTCCTTATGATAAAGGATGTGACTTACAAGTCTCTTTACGATCTGGCCCCTGACCTGGTGTCAAGTTTCATTTTTCATCACTGCTCCTTTACACTCCATGTTCCTGCTGTAAAGAGCTCTTTATGATTCCTAGATTTGCCTTGTTCTCTGTTCCCTTAACTCTTTATCCATGCTGTTTCTTCTATCTGCCACAATTTCTTGCTTACTTTTATTATCATCTCTACCAGATTAACTTCTATTTGGTCCTCTAGTAGGACTCAACATCACTGTCATGTTGTCCCTGTAGAGATCATGTCTGTCTATGTAACTATCACATTTAGCATTCTCTAGCACATAAGAGGCATGTAATAAGAGTTTTCTAAGTATTTTTTAAAACCTGAAATTAAAAAATTGAATTGCTTTTGTTCAGAGTACCCCTGAGGCCCCATAGTGTTGTTCTCTTAACTCTCCTTCAGTCTTCTCTACTCTTTTTTTTAAAATAATTATTTCATTTAACTTTGTTTGTTTGTTTTAATTTGACCAGAGAGGGCCAGATCAAGAGAGAAAGAAACAGAAAGTGAGAAAGCAAGTTGCTAGATCTGGGACTCGAACCACAGTTGTCCATGTAGGAGTCCAGCACCCTTAACTATCACACCACTGGCCCCTGGTCTCCGTTACTCTTACTCCCAACTGCTTTGCCCCCTGTAGAATCCCAAAGCTCAATAACATGCATTTTGTAAATCATTTCCCAAGGATAAAATATAAAAACCTTAAAATGATACATATGCCCTCCATAACGATCTAACCCCTGTTTGCCTTTCTGGATTCATTTATTCATTTATTTTGGCACTATGCAAGGTACTGCATTCTATGGCAATATTGAAATGTATGTGATTTCCCCATACATACACCTACACTTTTTCATATCCATGCTTTTTTTTTTGAGAGATTTATTGCTTTAGGACACATGTGCTTACTGGAGAGACAGAGAGAGATGGAGAGAAAGAAAGTGAGAAATCCCACCTAGTGGAGATGCATTCCTTTCTCCACCATTCTCCTCTTGGGATTTTGGGCATGCATGCACATGTGTCTGGTATGAGTTTCAGATCCAGGACTTAACCCATAATCAGCTATGTGGAAGTCCAGTGCCTTAACCACTACAATACCTGCTGGCCCCACCTCCATGCTTTAAGTTCATTCTGGATCTTCTATGTAGAATATTCTCCTTTCAATTCCTTTCTTTCTTTTGTCTAATTTATTCTTTCAAATTCAGTTTAAGCATCAATTTTAAGGACGCCTTTCCTAAAATCACTCCCAACTCCAGACTAGATAGCTGTCACATCTGGATGGTTTTATAATGTTTTGTGCTTTACTCTATTTACCTAAAAGTTCATTTTATAATCGGTTAATGCGTGGGCTACTTCTATTACACTGTGAGCTTTTTGAAGGAGAGGCTAATTTGTTCATCTCTATGTCCCTAAGACCTCGCATAGCACTTCATCCATTTAGATACTTAATAAATGTTTATGAATGAATGACCACACATATTTTCCTGGACTATTCTCAGTTTACTATTGTTCTTCCTCTGTACATTTTTCTTGAAGAAGCTCTTTCATTTCCATGTTTTTAGTTAAAGATAATCAAGATGTTATATCCATGGGACTCTGTAATTACCATATCCTGCATATCCTGGCCCAAACACCAGCATCCTATTAGTATAATGTTCCTAACATAGAAAAATGCACAAAGAATAATGGCAAAGGAAAGCAAAGTGGCACTTTGTTAAGTAGGCTTTTGTTTTATAAACTCAACATAGAAAATACTGGTAAGCTGGAATGAGCCATTTGGTGCATTCTTTTTCATATGAAACCAATTCAGAACATCTACCAAGACTAGAAGAGCAGGAGTAGAGGGCATGTTTGCCCATGATGCTTAGTGTCAAGCCAGCTGATACCTCACTTGGATTACTGGCTCCCATCCAAGTATCTGTCACCACAGAGGGAAAGTGAAAAGAAGAATCAAGGTGACCTGTCTGCTTCCTTTGTGTGTAGGCTTTCCAGTGAGATGAATTGAATGAGAGGAAGGAAAGGAAATTGTACAGGCTCAGCAGACTCTGAAAATAGAGAAACGTCATCCCCCTTCCCTTCCCACCCCCGCCAACACAATTTCGACTATAGTACCTCCTATGTGTTGATGACTCCAATATTTATCCCCAATCCACCCTGCCTTCTACCACTCTCTAGTTCTAGGGGAACTCTTTTCATTAGGGTGCTCTTTATGACCCTCAGTTCGTGGCCCTGATCTTAAGTGTACTGATATGAAAGAGCCAAAGGAATCAACTTTTACCAAATCTATAATAAACCTTATGGTAGATTTTTTTTCCCATTTAAACATGGTATCTCTGATATAAAGAAAGTGGCTTTCCTAAGGCACACAGAATACTTAGCCAAAAAGAAAAATCCAATACTCTAATCATGGGTGCTTTTCACTTTTACATTTAGATAATGTTATTAAGTGCCTAGCATGATGCCTGTTTCATCAAAGTTACCTCAATCACTGTTCATTTCTTCCCCTTTCCTTGGAGAAGAAAATTGGTGGCTTGAAAGATTTTTAGGTTTCTATTGAAATAAAATTTTCTGCTGACTTTGTACTCTTTCTTTCCTATAGTCTCCATTCTAGCTGAAACAGAAGAAATCAAGGCCATTTTGAAGGACAAGGGAATTGATGTGGAGACCATTGCTGAGGTGTATCCCATCAGAGTACAACCAGCTCGTATTCTCAGCCACATTTATTCTAGCCTCGGTAAGGAGATTGGCTAACTTCCTAGAATTAAAATGTTTTTCGGTATAGGCTGGGTTATTCCTTTTTTTTTTTTTCTTCATCTTATATTGCTTTATTAAACTGAATCTGAGGAGGAATTTAGTGTCTCTGGAATTCAAGTTTCCAACCCTAACAACCCTGAGCTTAACCAACATGTTCTCTCCTTTTTTGGAAGCTTTATTTCTTTTTTGAATACAAGTTAATTTTATGTAGAGTAATAGCCAGCTAACTTGTTTGTAAGAATTTCATACTTTGTAATTTAATGAACTAGTTAATAATATGAAAAATTCCTTAATCTAATACTTTTAATTAATACTTACTTTTATTCAATTTATATATTAAATTTAGTGATGAACTTTTTATATTAAACAAATTACTATACTGTGAATTAAAAAGAATATGCAAAATTTCTATACTGTCTTTGTGGAAAGCTGAATCGTAATCCCCAAAGACATACAGGTTCTAATCCCTGGAACCTATGAACATTATTACTTATATGGCAAAAGGAACTTTGCAGGTAACCAAGTTAAGGAGCTTGAGATAGGGAGGTTATCCTGAATTATCCATGTGCTCACTAAATATAGTCATAAGTGTCTTTATTAGAGGCTGTAGTACCCTGAATCCTGATCCTGCATTTTCAGTGTTAGAAGCCCCCACCCACTCAGGAACTAGAGAGGTCTAGGTCTAGCCTAATATCTGAACACTGTGAGGTGATGGAGAAATCCTCTCCCCACAGTGAACCCACTAGTAAAAGGAGAGAAACTCCTCATCATAAATTTGAACGTACAACTCCTGCTGTGGATACCATATTGCAAAACACAGTAGAAGAGAGAAATTGGCACAGAGCTAATTTAGAAGCAAGGAAAGCACAGGGCACATAGCTAAAAAAACTACTCCAAAGAATTACCAAGAAGTGAATATATCAAATGACTGAAAATCATAGAAGAACCTCAACTATGAGAACACCAGGAAATACTTAACCCACAAGTGAACACAATAACTTATCTCCAACTATGGGAAAAAAAAAAAAAAAAAACAGAGGAAATCACCAAGATGTCAGAAAAAGAATTCAGAGTATTTACTGTAACTAAACTTAGTAAGATGGAAGAAACAAACATACAAACAAACAAAACAGACAACCAGACCCAGGAGATGAGAAAATCATTCTGTGACTTGAACAAAGAACTCCATGAAAAACAAACCATAAAAAGGAATCTAACATAACTTCTAGTGATGAAGACTATAATGTAAGAAATCAAAACCTCCCTCAGCAGTATTGGTAGCAGATTAGACCATGCAAAAGACAGGATCTCTGATCTAGAAGACAAAGCCTCTGACTTAGACAAAGCCACCAAAAAGAATGAAAAAAAAAGAGAGAGAGAGAAAATGAGCACAATATATAGGAAATACAAGATACTATTAAATGCCCTAATATCCAAATTATTGGTATTCCAGAAGGTGAAGAATCTAATAAGGACATAGAACATCTATTCCATGAAATACTTGAGGAAAATTTTGCACACCTAGAGGAGCATTCAGATATCCAAACCTAGGAAGTACAAAGAACTCCAAATAGATGCAACGTAAGAAGATCCTCCTCCTGGCATCTTATAGATAGAATGGTAAAAATCAAGGACAAAGATAAGATTCTAAAAATGGCAAGAGAGAAATGTCAAGTTACTTACAAAGGTTGTCTCACTCTTTGTTTGCTTGCATTGTTTTAGTTGAAAGATCTGACACAATCCTCTAAGGAAGACATAAGAACAGCCAAAAAGCATGTGAAAAAATGGTCAACATGCCTTATTATAAGGGAGATGCAAATCAAAACCACGATGAGATACCACCAAACCCCAGTCAGAATGGCCAAGGTTTAAAAAAAAAAAAAAAAGAAGTGCTAGTGAGGCTGTGGTAAAAAGGAAACTCTCCTATGCTGTTGGTGGTAATGTAAATGAGTACAGCCATTGTGGAGAACAATATGGAGGTTCCTCGGAAACCTACAAATAGAACTACAGTACAATCCAGCAACTTCACTCCTGTTTATTTACTCAAAGGGTAAGAATACCCTCAGTTGGAAAAACATTTGCACATCCATATTTATTATAGCATTATTCAAAATTGCTAAGACATTGAATCAACACAAATATCCAAGAACAGATAAATGGATTGAAAGAGTAAGGCACATATACATTATGGAATACTACTCAGCCATAAAACACTATGAGACCCTGGCATTTGATAGAAAATAGTCAAATATGGAAGATTTAATGCTGAGTGAAGCAATCCAGATTATGAAAAAGAGGCATTGTATGTCTCCTATTAATAGATACCAAATGTCTGCACTCTGACAGAAACTAAAAGATTTGAAGGTATAAAAGCATGGAGACCAAATGTGGATACAAAAAACAGTGTGGGAAGAGGGTGGGTAATGGGACCAGAGGGATGGAATCAAGGGTAGAAAAATGCAAAACATTTCGTGGACACGGAAATGGAAAATTATCTGATGATGATATTGTGTTAAGTAATATCTTAGACTGGACTAATGTGCACTGTAGTCCTGCTGGGAAAATTCATTTTGTTTGCTGAAAAGATGTACAGTGGTTAAATACAATTTTTTAAAAATCAGAAGTTAAAATTGGCAAAGAACTGATTCTCCCCTGGAGCTTTAAAAAGGATCGGAAGGGCTAGCAGGCGGTGTGGTGGTTAAGATGCTGGACTCCCACATGTTTGACCGCAATTCAAGTCCCAGACATGGCAGCTTGAAAATCATGCTGGTCACATGTGCATGCATGCCCGAACCCCAGGAGGAGACTGGAAGAAAAGGGATTGCAGTGTGGCCATACCCCCTGAAGGGTGATTTCTTGCTTTCCCTCTCACTGCCTCTTTCTGTCTCTCTCCACCAAGTGCATGTGCCCTATGGCAAAAACCAGAAACAAACAAAAAGAGGAATCAGCCTGACTGATACCTTGATTTTTATTTTAGCCTCATAATGTTTATTTTGGACTTATGATGTCCAGAACTGTAAGAGTATAAATTTGTGTTATCTTGGGACCAGCAGTTAGCGTAATGGCTATGTCGCTGGACTCCCGTGGTTCGAGTCCCATACCCGGTGACTTAAACTCATGCCGGGCACATGTGCGTGCACGCCCAAGATCCTGAGAGGAGAATGGAGGAGAAGGGATTGTGGCGTGGCCATCCCCCCTGGGGGGTGATTTCTCGCTTTCTATCTCTCTGTCTCTCTCTGTCTTTCTGGTGAGTGCACGCGCCCTGTAGCAAAAACCTCTTCAAAAACAAATTGTATTATCTTTAGCCACTAAATTTGTGATAATTTGTTACAGCATCAATAGGAAATTAACAATCTTTGCCTGAATTCCTTGGGTTCCAGAGCTATTAACATTACATCTAGCTTTAGGAATACATGGATTTCTCTCCTCTTTCTTCCTAGCTATGATGTAGAAAATCACTTTTCTTTTTCATTCAAATCCAACAGCAACAGATTGGACTTTTCTAAAGAAACTTTGCAAAAAAACAAAACAAAACAAAAACAAACAAACAAACAAAAAAAACCCCAGAAAACTAAAATTTAAACACACAGAACAAATTTTACATCCTAGTTAATTTCTAAAATCTAGCACAAATTAACTGGAACATTAAAAATCTCTGAGCCCTTCATTCCCTGCACACACTCAACCCTTTTGGAGGTAAATGCTAAGTCAAGACTCTGAAACTTCTAAGGTTTAATTGGGTTGATGCTTTGCTAGGTGGGATGTGTACCTCAGTCCTCCCCACGCTTCTCGTTTTTAATTCCTTGGCCATTTCCCGTAGCCTCAGACTATAATGTATTTCACTTGGCCATTTCCCGTAGCCTCAGACTATAATGTATACCACTAAATCTCTTGAGATAAATGACGTTAAAAATGAAGATAAATAACTTTTCTGAGTATTATTTGATCTTGTAGTCACCTTCATTGTCCCTCTTAGAAGTCTCTGTGGTTCTGGTTTTATTCAAGTCCTATTGGTGACTTTGACCTGATTTTTTCTGACTCTCCTTCAAAGTTGATAGGTTAAGACCAGTAGGTAGCATGGTGGTTAAGGTGCTGGATCCCAAATGACAAACTCCATGGTTCAAGTCCTGGACCCGGTGGCCTGAAAAACACACCAGGCGCATGTGTGTTCATGCCCAAAATCCCAAGAGAAGAATGGAGGAAAAGTAATTGTGATGTGGACATACCCCTGGAGGAAAGATTTCTCACTTTCCTGCTGTCTGTCACTGGCAAGCACACACACCCTACAGCTAAAAAATAAAAGCGGATAGATTAATTTTACCTTTTGCTTCATCATATCCATTGTTCTAAATCAGCATAAAAATTTTACTAGGAAACATGTAAATTCTATGCACTCAGCCATCATTCCTGAAATCTGCCTACATTGCATTAGGTCTCTCCAACAAACAGAAACCATCTTTGACAATTTATTTTGTCAAGGCCTATACTCCATTTGGGACCCCTTATTTATTTATTTATTTATTTATTTACATTCATTCACTATACATCATTACAGCATACAAAATCAGATTTCCTATACAGAATACACTGTATATTGGCTCAATCAAGCACATCAACATGAGTGTTATCTTCAACAAATAATTTTCCATTTCTTGTTTCCTGTATATTTTGCCTTTTTTTTCCCATCCTTGATTCCCTATCTCTCACCCTCT